TGTGTTGTTTACTGCTGCAGACACAAAGTCACTGGAGAGACTGACTTCCTCGAGTTTTCCGTGGCAGACACTGTAGGTAACAGCTCTTCATCTGCTCCATCCCTATTTTGGTGTTCACCTTATTGCTGCTGACCAGGGCCACGTGTGCTGTCCATACAGCCCCCAGTGATTACAGAGTGTTCTCAGAGCACAGAGTGTGCTCCTGATCCAGACTCTGACTCAGAAAGGCTTTAAGGCAAGCCTGGCTTACAGAAGTACCCCCAGTCTACAGCCAGCAATGACAAAACAGTTTTTAAGTGTCGCGTATATGCCTCTCCCCTTCCCTGACTCAAATCAGCTCTAAAACTCTAACTTCCAGTCCTTTCTAATGGGCCCTGACGTGTCCTAGGGCCCAGATCTGTGCACAAGAGTGACTTTACACACATGAATAGTCCCTGGAGTTCAACCATGTGCAAAAAGCTATTTGTGTGCCCAAGTCCATGTGGAATCCAAACCTCAGTCTAACCTGCCTCATTTAGCTGTCAGCACAGCAGTCTCCAGTTTGCCCAGCAATTATTTCTTTGTCATCTTCTGCAGAGGTTAGGTGCTCTCCCCTCCCCCGTGCATGGCAGTGCCCCAAAGCGATATGTGGATCTCCTAATCAGATATCATATTGACGTTAGCTGTCACTGTGTGTGATACCCAGATACAGCCAGGCTCACAGCCATCTGGGCGTGCTCTTCTGGGGATACTCACAGTGCCTAGAGGATGCCTGAAGGAAGGCTGTTACAATATGAAACAGAGATTAAAAATATCCATGCTCACTGATGGGCCTAGCATGAACCATCAGGCATTTGCTTTGTGTGGGAGGGATCTCCCTCCACCGAGAGAGAGAGTTAGAAACCATCTGACAGAGAGGTGAGGGAGGTCACCCATTACCCTGTGCCTGGGGATCCTCCCATGTTTAATGTTGGCTATGCTGCAAAATCAGATTATCCCAGGAAAAAGAGTTTTCAATATACTTTTCTTCCCTGGATAATGTATCAGTCAACCTTTCACATTTCACTCCCAAGGATTTGTGTGGTTGTGCTGTGTTTGCGGTTTTCACCGTCAAGAGCAGAATGTTAAAGTCTCAGCTGAAGGTAAGAATAAACTCTCAGAGTTAGAAATGGTGCAGTGAGGATTTGGACAGAGGGTCTGTCCTGCCATGGGGCTCTTTCTAGAGGCATCTTTAGCTTGGTGACCCTGCAATCTGGAGTCTTGCTTTAATGAACAAGCAAGTGAGGGCAGGGACATCAGATGCCAGATATCACTTCCCAGGAGGAGCCTGTCTTTCTCCCTTGGTTTACAGAGGAGATGTTGTGCTAAGACCTATTTGTAGCTCTGCAGAAGGCAACAAAAACCTGCATGTTATCACTTCAGCATCTTATTCCAAACCTTGCCAGAGGATCTAGGGAAGGATGCTGCAGCAGGTTCCTCACGCACACCAGCCAGCAGTGTAAGCTCCACAGGGAATGGCAAGGACAGCCATGGCATTGAGGCCTTTACACAGAGCCTGCTGAGCTGCTGTGGTAATGATATGGCTGGTGCAAGTACTTGTTTTGAATTTTATGACCCTTTTAGCCCCAGAGCAGGACCAGAATTATTTAACAGGGAAGAGGAGAATGTTGTTTTAGGCCTGAGTATTGTAATTTGAG